ATTTGTTGATGTATAAAAGAGCCTATAAAGCTTATCCAACTGTACTGGTTTTCCTTAAAGTTGTTTGAGTGAACGACTGCCAGAATAGGGGCAATTGAAAATGCTACTGAATACAATTCTTAAAATATTCACTAGGAAGTTACCATAGTAACTAACTGATTCATTTAAAAAAAAAAAAAAAAAAAAAAATAAATTGAAATGCATTACAGATGTTCTCTTCAAAATATCTTAAAAAGGGGAAAACATAGCAAGTACAAATGATTGATAATTTTTTCCAGAATTGAGACCTATCAAATTATTTACCAAATATCCTGCACAGTATCATGCTACTGTTCAAATATAAGTTAAAAACAAATGTCGAAAATTAAACTGAAAATGCTCTTTCATAGAATCATAGAATGGCCTGGGTTAAAAAGGACCTCAAATATCACCTACTTTCAACCCCCCCGCTATGTGCAGAGTCACCAACCACCAGACCAGGCTTGGCCTTGAATGCCTCCAGGGATGGGGCATCCACAACCTCCTTGGGCAACCTGTTCCAGTGCCTCACCACCCAGAGTGAAAAACTTCCTCCTAATATCTAACCTAAACCTCTGCTGTCTTAGTTTTAAATCATTCCCCCTTGTCCTATCACTATCACCCTCATAAACAGTCATTCCCTCTCCTGTTTATAAGCTCCCTTCAAGAATTGGAAGGCCACAATGAGATCTCCCCGAAGCCTTCTCTTTTCCAATCTGAACAAGCCCAGTTCCCTCAACATTTCCTCATAGGAAAGGTGCTCCAGCCCTCTGGTCACCTTGGTGGTCCTCCTCTTGGACTCGTTCCAAGAGCTCTGCATCTTTCTTGTGCTGGGGACCCCAGGCCTAGATGCAATGCTGCAGATGGGACCTCACAAGAGCCGAGCAGAGGGAGACGATTACCTCCCTGTCCTTGCTGTCCCCACTCTGTTGATGCAACCCAGAACACAGTTGGCCTTCTGGACTGCAAGCACACACTGCTGGTTTATGTTCAGCTTCTCGTCCACCAGGACCCCCAAGTGCTTCCCGCAGGGCTGTTCTCAAACAGTTCTTCTCCCATCTTGTATAAACACCTGGGATTACCCCAACCCAAATGCAGCACCCTGTACTTGGCTTTGTTGAACCTCATTACTTTCACATGGGCCTATTTCTCAAGCCTGTCTAGGTCCCTCTGGATGGCTTCCCTTCTATCCAATGTATTGACCACTCAGCTTGGTGCCATCTGCAAACTTGCTGAGGCTGCACTCGATGCCATCATCTGTGTCACTGATGAAGATGCTGAAGAGCACCGGTCCCAAGACCGACCCCTGAGAGACATCGCTTGTGACCAGCCTGCACCCTGACACAGAGCCATTGATGACAGCCCTTTGGCAGTGACCAGCCAACCAATTCCTAAGCCTCCAAACAGTCCATCCTTCAAATCCATACCTCTCTAATTTATAGAGAAGAATATGATCAGGGGTCATGTCAAAGATTTTGCATAAGTCCAGGTAGATGTTATCTGCCACCCTTCCCCCATCCACCAAAGCCATCACTCCATCATAGAAGGCCACCAGATTGGTCAGGCACGATCTGCCCTTGGTGAAGCCGTGCTGGCTGTCTTGACTCACCTCTTTATCTCGTATGTGTCTTAACATAGCTTCCAGCAGGATCTGCTCCATGATCTTCCCAGGCACAGAGATGAGGCTCACTGGCCTGCAATTCCTCAGGTCTTTCTTTGTCCCTTTCTTAAAAATGGGAGTAATGTTTCCTTTCTTCCAGTCATCGGGGACTTCACAGCCACAGTTTCTGTTTAAATCAAACTGAGTATCTTTAGCTAACTCAGCAAAAATACATTTTTATATCAATAAAACCTTTATAATTTGTAAAGCTGCTATTTTGCAAACTGCATTTAGCAATATTTGATTCCTTGCTGGAATTTTGATACTGTAAAGATGTAACAAAAATGCTGTTTAATAACACAAAGGAATACCATATTCAAACTCAGATGTTTTTTCAAAGAAGTTGAATCTTTCCATGAAGAGTCACTATTTAAAATTGAAATCATACAGTGATACTTAAATATTCATTTGCTCTTTATCACTTTTCAAGATAGTCTTACTTCAGAATACAGTATGAGCAAGAAGCTCAGTAAAAAATCATATACTTTTAACCTTATTGATATAATTCATAGCAATAGATAGAATACTTTGAAATTTGGTTAATCATTTTTGCTATTGCATTTCTTAGACATGCTGATAAAATGTATTTTTTATATTTGCAAAACATATTCATTTTGGACTTATGCACTCTACCTTAGCAAAGGAAACTCCTTAATCACAATCCCTGCTGAAGAGCACTGTCGTATTCTTGCATTGTATTTTTCTCAAATTGATTAGCATGAAGAAACACAGGGGAAACTGGGCAGCTTTAACAGAACTTGGTTTCATCCATTTCGTCTCCATTATCTTCAACTTCTTTTCTTTAATGATTTTCTGCAAGGAAATTCTAAATCTCAAAGGTTTATAACAGCTTGTGGAGTAAAATGCAGGTTTGTTTTTTTTTTTCCTCTGCTTACAGCATCAATCAGAAAAGAGAGGAATTTAAACTAACTTGCTACACCTGGGTTTGTTTTAAGAGAGATCTGAAATACCGAAGACAGTGTTTGATTTCTCATTTATCATTGGGGTCAGAAGAACTCCTGGACTACAGAAACCTATTTCAATTCCGTAACAAAGGGGAAAGAAACAAACTACGGTCTTTGATTTCTATACGGTCTTCTATTACACTGGAAAATCAAGAAGCTGGCAGTTTTCTTTACCAAACTGCCTTAGCTAAACTCAGAGATGTTTTTAGGGAGGCATTAGAGAAATTGATTTTAAACAAGAATTATAAAGTGATTGGGAGAAATTGTATATTCGATGCCTGTAATATTTTGACATCACAAAATCTGTTAGGTACATTAGTAGAGATTCTGGTCTCCTTTTTCATAAAGTAACACGTTTTATCTACATTTTCAAGCTCCTCTGTTTGTCCTAGGTTGTTAATACAAAAGAATAAGTCAATGCCGAAACTGACAACAGCTGTGCATTTTGAGATTGATTCTAAGGGATCATGCAACATGGGGGAAGGGAAAGGGGAAGGAAAAGGGAAGACCTTACCTTATAGCAGCCTTCTCGAACCTAAAGGGGGTCTGCACAAAAGCTGGAGAGGGATACTTTATCAGGGAGTGTAATAATAGTGCAAGGTGCAATAGTTTTAAACTAAAAGAAGGTGCCTAGATGCCTAGAAGTCTTCAAGGCTTTGAATAGCTTGGTTTAGGAGAAGGCGTCCCTGCACGTGGTAGGGGTGGAAGGAGGGGTGAACTTGCCGGACTTTAAGGTCTTTTCCAACTCAAACCATTTTTGGGATTCTTTGACTCTATGAAAGGAATTTTGGAATTTCATTACTGTAATGAGATCCAATTCTTATCTTTAATTGTTAATGCTTACATAAAGAGAGGCCAAAGCACATATATATTCCAAGTAGATTGGTATACACCAAACAGATTGGATAGGGAGCTATTTAGCTGTGCTGCTTGAGTGGCATGCATCTTGGCTTAGGCTCATATGTTTGTACAGCTTCTAGACTAAATGTCTTTGGCTTCAGGATCTAGGCATCAGAATATATGTCTATCTACATTCTAATTACTCTGTGGCTACTTGATTAACTGATAAGCTTTCCTCTGTAGCAGCCAAATAAAAATTCCAGTTAGTTAAATCCCTCTACAAAATTTTCTTTCCATGTTAGTATCATGTATTTTACATATATTTGTTTTACACATCAAAAGGCAGATTCACTTCCTTCTACCTTGCTTTCACATAAAATACATGTTAAATGCCACTCCAATGTGACTACATTGGAGCATTCACCAAAATCAGAACCATTTAAAATTTATGGGGTTTATTCTTCTTTTATCAAGCATTTTCTACATACAGAACATTCACGTGGTGTAAGGTACAGAAGAAAAATGCATGAGACAGACTACTGCAAATAAGTGAATAACGGACAGTTCACACGACTCTTGTTTGTTCACAATGGAGAAAGGTTGTTGAAAAGGAAAACAGATTCAGTAACTAGAAATGTAAGCAGACTCTTAATTCAGTTAAATGTACCTACCAGGAGATTTGCTCAAGCTAAAGAGAGATTTACTGTATCACAAAGGGCAGGATGCTAAATGTACACAAGATTACAATGCTAGAAAATTCCAGATTTCTAAATTTACACAATCTAAATCAGGGTACAATTTTGTTTAAAAAAAGTATTTTTTTTTTTTTTAATTTCCTTCTGAAAAAGGAGGTCAGTTTAAGAGCTTATAAGCATTCCTTAGCAAAAACATAATAAAAATAAAAACACTCCCAAACTTTTAAGTCATTGCTCTAAGTCTGGATAGTTGTTTACTGCTGGCTTTCTTATCCTACTGACTATTGTTATTTTATTTCTTAGAATCTCATTTTTCCCATTTAGATGTTTCCTCATCATTACAATTAGAATTTTACGTTAATAAACTTAAAAAAAAAAAAAAAAGATTTTCATGGTGGAGGTGGGTTTTTTGTGGGTTTTTTTTGCATTTTTTTTCACTAGTCCAATCGGATGCATGAAATACAAAATTTGCTGAGTTACCCAAATGGTTTAATAAATATGCATCAATTATGAATGAGAAAAAAAATATTATCTACTTGTTAACTTCAATTCTCTGAGTTTCCAGCTTCCTAAAACGTACACATTTTTTAAAAAATATCAGTTTTCTTGTCAGTAAAAGTAAAGCTTTGTGTAGTCAGATCTCAGAATTTGGTTACTCTGAATAAGTAAATGCAGCGGTTCTCTGTAGTAGAACTCAGACTCCTTACTGATGGAACTCTGTGACAGCTGAAAAACCTAACATCTATTCTTTTTCTTAAAAAAGAAAAAAAACAAACAAACAACCAGCAAAACAGCTTTCTCAATTAAGACTCGTCATAAAAATAAGCTTCTTGAATTTCACTGATCAGAAAACTGTGCACTGCAAATATAATTTCTTTTTTCTCTTTCTATGTCCCAAAGCTTGAGACAAAAATTTGATAGTAAATGTTTCTCTCCAATGACAAGCAATCCTGTAGTCACAATGGGAATAAGTTATACAATTTCTATGCTTTACCTTTCTTGTGACACTTTCACTTCAAGGCACAAAAATATTAAACAGTGAACTGACAAAACAGGACATCCTATTTCAGTTTAAGGAACAAAAAGTCGTACATCTCTCATTTTGTGTCTGAAGCAAAGCAAACCAATATTTGAATCATATTCAATTCTTCCATTTACAAATGCAAAGTATCATGTTAAATTCCCTGAAGCTTTATGGTTTTTCCTATTTTCTTTAAAGTAATGCATGGTATTTGTCATCAATTTCAATATGTAGTAATTCCAGTCAACCAATACAATCTTGGTTGATATTTAATAAGGCTACCATACTAGCAAATAGCTGTTGCTTTAGTAACTTATATGGAAATTGACTCAAATTGCATTCAAGTCAAAGAAATATCAGGCATAGAAGGGTTGAACAATTTCAAATGAAATTGGTGTAAATTTAAAGAATGCTGTAATTTAAGTGCAACATACTGTAAAACTATTAATTCAGCAAATATTCAACATAGACTCTTATGCTTCCCCAACCCAAATTACTGTGTTGCCTCTCTCAACTTCAGTGATTTCACAATTTAACTTATTGAGGCGTCCATCCAGGATAAACAGAGATTCCTTGGAAGGGGTCATGAGATACTGACCAAAAAGGCCACTGTCTTTTATAAGACGGTTCTTACTGTTCCAAGGCCATTCGCCTGCCCTGACAGGCTCCTTAAGACTCTTCACCATCTTAACCTTTCCAGAGGAGAGCTCCACAAAGAGAACGTCAGTTTGTGTACTGGAACTACAGTAGATGTTGTATTGATGAGCTTCAGTGAATGATGGCTGAAAAGCTACATCAGATATGTGCAAATTTGTGTGAATGTCAAATGAATCTTGTATTTCTCCTCTCAACGTTATGGTCTGGATCCTCATGAGACCCTTTGCATCATCAATACTGACAAGGTAGTGTCCATCTGGAGAGATGTGTGGTCTGCCTGTTACATCGCCATTGTATCCAATCACAGAATCAGTAACACTATCCACTATAAGCTGTGGCAGAACAGCACCAGTGGTATCAGGTTTACAGCAGATAAAAAATAATCCTCCAAGATGTGTATAAGCCAGGGACTGAGGAATGCAATTATAATCCTTTAAACTAATTGTCTTGATGTACGACATAGTTTCAAGATCAATCTTCTGGAGCATGGGCTCATCTTTATGAAGAATAAATCCAAACCTGGAAGGAAAAGCACAAAGTCAAAGAAAGAGCTATTGTATGCATCATGTACAAATGTGGAAAGGCAATATAATGAAGTACATGAGTTAATACTTGCAGCAGTGTACAAATACAATTTAGCTTCAGATGTTCCAGAGATGAAGCATTTTATATTATTTAATTTTCAGTGTTCTTGTAATTATATTTTAAATTGTGCCAAATAAAATATCTAAAAATCATTTCTCTGATTAATTGGCAGTGTTTTATTTCTATAGACTCTAGGGGGAAAGTAAACATTACTCTGAATGTCTATTCAGTTAAAACTTTTACAAAAGCTAGGTGGAAGAAAAATATTAAATATCAATAGATAATACATCCCACAAGCTTTTATTCACTTCACATTCTTCTTCAACTTTCTTGGGAATCAGCTTTATCCAGAGCTCATTGTTATTCAGATAATTATCCTAATTTTTCTCATTCTAATTCAGCAGAAATTAATATCGTAAAAAGATTTAAGTTTATGCCTCCCAACTACCCAAAACCCACATTTCTTACATTTTTAAATGAATCTTTATACATTTCAATATATTCAAGGAATTCTCACTGAACATGAATAATATGATTAAACCTTAAAATTCTAGAGCTTAATGTTTGTAACATTTTAAACATATACTATATGACTATTCTCTGTTAAGCTGTAAGTTCTGACTGCACAATTTTTTGATTGCATGTATGCAAAAGCCAGTGCTCTAAATACTGTAAAGTTATGTCGAAGTTTATTAGTCTTGTTTATAATCTAAGGACCGTTCACAGCACTCCTCTGAAACAGCTGTTTTCCTTTGGCACATTTCTTAACATTTTACTTTGAATCTTTGATCACTACAGTGAAGCATTCTTGCTGCTGTGTGATGACATTTAATCTAAAAATACCTTTCAGATCCTATCCATATGAAGAACCACAATGTTTCAACAACTCAGTGGTTGAAAATAGTACAAAATTCCACATTATACTTTGCAAGCCCAACATATTCAGTAATCCTTGATTAAGGAAAAAACATGCAGAAAGATTTCAGGACACTGCTCAGCCAGTTCCTCAGATACGGTAGGTTTAATTATATTTGTTCTTCTTCTTACCAAACGTGTACAATTTTCTGGAACATTTTTTAATTTCAGCCCTACTTTCCAAAATCCTTGCATCCTGCTTCAATATCATTGGACCATAGTACTGCAGAATAATTTCTGCCTTTTTTTTTTTTTTTTTTTTTTTTCCTGGATGAGTATTAAATCAGGGCTAGCTATCACTGTTGGTTATTAATATTATTTTCTTCTAATGTTAACACTCCAAAGAAATTTTCCAGTTCAAACTTTAAAAACTCACAATTTTAGACACTGATATAATGTGGAAAACTTTAACCTAGAGGTAAGTGCATTAAAAGATCAGCTATGGTAGCAGAATATTAATATGGTGAACTGAAGTAGAAGTTTTAACTTACAAAGCATTTTACAAATATCACAGTAAGTGAAGCAAGAAGCTGAGTGACTTCCCTATGGCTATATCATGATCCGCTGGCAAAGCCAGGGTGATGATACAAGTTATTTAATGTCCAACACATTTTTTTACTGATCATGATACAGGTTACCCAAACCAGTGCAAATGAGATCTTAAGAGAGATAGATGGGAGTAAGTGCAGATAACCAAAACACATCTTTTTTAATAAATCATCATAGATCATGAAATCCTGCTTCAAAATTCACTTGACTGCGTACAGCAAGGATCAGTTGCAAATAAATTTTAGCCCACTGTCCAGTAAGCTAATTACTGCCCTCTAACAACCATGTGCATCTGTCTGCACTGCCTTCTTTCCAGCATTATGAACATCTTGGCATGCCAGTTTGTGGATACACTGTGTAGTGTGGTTGACACACATGAATGACATCCAGAGAGACCTAGACAGACTCAAGCAGTGGGCCCAGGTGAACCTCATGAGATTCAACAAATCCAAGTGCAAGGTCTTGCACCTAGGTTGTGGCAGTGCCCACTGTCAGCACAGGCTAGGGTATGTAAAACTGGAGCACAACCCTGCCAAGAAGGTCCTGGGGATACTGGTGGATGACAAGCTGGAAATGAGCCAGCAATTTGCCCTCACAACCCAGAAAGCAAACCGTATCCTGGGCTGCACCAAAAGAAATGTGGCCAGCAAGTCCAGGGAGGTGATCCTGCCCCTCTGCTCTGTGTTGGTGAGTCCTCACCTGGAGTACTGCATCCAGGTGTGGAGTCCTCAGTGTAAGAGAGATGCAGACCTGCTGTACACGTCCAGAAGAGGACAACAAAAAATGATCCTGGGGTAGAATACCTCCCCTGTGAGGACAGGTTGAGGGAGCTAGAGCTGTGGAGAGGAGAACACTCCAGGGAGACCTGATAGCAACCTTCCAGTATCTAACGAGGGGCTATAAGAAAGAAGGGAACAGATTCTTCAGCAGGGTCTGTGGTGATAGGACAAAGGGAAACGCTTTCAAAAAGAGGAGAGATTTAGATTGGATATAAGAAAAAAGTTTGTTATGATAAGGGTAATGAAGCATAGGAACAGGCTGCGAATAAGGTGCTGAATGCACCTTACTCATTCCTGGAGACAATCAAGTTGAAGCTGGACGGGGATCTGAACACCTGATGTAGTTGATGTAGTCCCTGTTCATAGCAGGGGAGTTGGACTAGATGACCTTTAGGGGTCCCTTCCAACACAAAATATTCTACGATTCCATGGATTCTAAAGGAAGCTTTGAAGTATAAAGATCAGCTGAAAAAAAAAAAAAAAAAAAAAAAAAAAAAGAAAGAAAGAAAACAACCCCTATGTAATAAAATAGTATAATTTACCAGATCGTTAAACAATGAATTATCAATACTAAAAGGTTGCCTTCCAGTGGTGTCTATAATTCCAACTCAGTGGGGACATTTCACAGAACTGATATTAGTGGCATTTTATTGAGAATTTAATACAAACAGCAAGTGAATGAGCTGAGCTTCCACTATTCCACTGTTTGGTTGTCATTCATCTTTTTGCTTCTTTCACTTAAAGTAAAGCCAGACTATTTTGACTGGGTAAAGAAGTTGGCACTAGAACTCTATGTTTCATTCTGTCTTGTGGCTAGCTGAATTCAACCCCCAAAGCTACCATAATCTAATAACTTTTCAGAAGCACTTAGTTTTCCAGAAGGATTAAAAAAACACAGCCACTCATAATCATGCAATGAAATTGTGCCTGTCGCCTTTGTGCTCTTAGCCTGTTTTTTATGACTAGGCTGTTGGGGAACAAGTGATACTTAAGAGTAACTTCACTTTTCCCAAATGATTTATAGATAGATGGTGGTGTGCTTAATGCAAAATTTCCACGTATAAAGATTGATATTCAGAAGTCTCCCACTGTTCATTAAACCATGATCAATATTTATGAGAATCTCAACCCTCATGTCTCTTCTATGCAGTGAAATCATACACTATATTCAACAGCATATAAAGGCATTTGTCAGAGTGCATATTGTGAACTGGTGCAGTTCAAGCCTTCAAGATATGAGAGCAAATCTTCACATTTCCAATTCTTTATTTTTACAGTTTATGCATGTGGGAAACTGTAGCCTGTGGGCATAACACTCCAATTGGAGTACATACTAGATCTCAGAAATCTGAGATTGTTTCTTACTTTACTTACTGTATATGTATGAATAATAAAGATTTTAATACCAGACTTTCAACAATTTCAATCACATCAAAACTTTTCAATCACATCATGACAAACTGTCAAAAAAGAGAAATCTGAATAATTATGCTTAGCAATTCTACAGCACTTTCCATCTGAGGAATGCACTGGGTTTGGCTGCGATGGAGTTAATTTTCTTCATAGCGGCTCAGATGGTGTCATGTTTTAGATTTGCGACCAAAACAGTGCTGTTAGAACACTGTTGCTACTGCTGAACAGTGCTTGTACAGCAGCAAGGCCTTTTCTATTTCATCTTTCCCTCAACAAATAGGCGGAGGGTGGAAGAGTCTGGGATGCAGCCAGGACAGCTTTCTCCAGTTGACCAAAGACATTCTGTGCCATATAACATCATGCTCAGCAATAAAACTCGCTCTGAACAGCCACTGCTTGAAAAACTGGCTGATTTGCGGGTGGTGACTCATGCTTTTGCATCACTCTTTTTTTTTTTTTCACTCCTTCACTTATTAAATTGTCTTCATGGTGAACCATGAGCTTTGTCGCTTTCAGCTATCCCATTCTCTCCCACATCTCAGTAAATAAAAGTGAAGATGTGTGGTGGTTCAACTGCCAGCTAGGGTCAACCCACAACAAGCAGACATTAGCAGTCTGTGAAAACTAACGAGCTTTACAATACCAAGATGAAGGGAGATGGAGAGAAATAAATTAAATGACTTGTCCAAACTAACTGAATGGAGACAGGAAGAATATCCTAAAAGGTGTTAATTGCAAAATGCATTTTTTTCAACAGTGAAGTCCACATGAATGAGTGCCCTATTTTCCTGTTTTTGGAGGCATTGGGGGCAGGTGTGAGGAAGCAATAAAAAAACTACCCTCATAATTAAGAGTGGAATAATTAAAATGAATAAAGTTAATAGCACGTTATAAATGATTGAAGAATCACAGATTTGTAAGCAATGCAAGGGACCTCTGGAGATCATTTAGTCCAACCCCAATTATAAAGCAAGTTCCCTACAACATATCACACAGGAAAGTGTCCAGAAGGGTCTTGAATATCTCCAGGGAAGGAGAATCCACGGCCTCTCTGGGCAGACCATTCCAGTACTGTGTCACCCTGAGAGAAAATACATTTTTTTTTCTGTTTTCTTCTTTTTATTTAGATTTTTTTCCTTTTTATCTGTAAAGGATAAATTTCAACGTTCTGCAACGTAAAATATCAGAAAAATTGCTTTCAGGTGAAATTAATATGAAAATTGACATGGAATGTATTCACTATCTTAAATATTAGTGACATTTTGTTTAGTAGAAAAA